TTGGGGAAACGTGATTGCACTTGTAGAAGCGCTCTTCGTAGGCACGTTTTTCCAGCTTCTGATAGCTGGTCAAGCGCTCTTACCACTCGGCCATGGCTCGCCTCGTTTTCATCCTTCGCTTGAGGGGGTCGATGACCATCGCGTCGAACTTGAAGTATTTCAGTTTCTTCTCGGCAAGTCGTCGGAATATTACCATGTACGAAGATACCAAATTCTCGCTTTGCACATCAACCAGCGCCAAGTTGGCGATAAAGTGTGTCACCGCCTCCATCTCGGTCGCCAGTACGCATTCGTCTGCGGACACAGCCGCCCACACGCTAGTAGGCCTTTTCATAGACTGGAAATAAGCTTCAAATGCCGCATAGATGACCACCGCCCGTCTTGTGAGTTTGCACGTGTACGCGACCCTAACATCGCTGTCGACCATGGGGTCTAGCTCGGGGTAAGATATAGCTTCTTGGATTTATTTGAACGCGTTGCGTTGCTTTGCCGACCGGAAGTGGTTGTTCAGATTGCGCGGCTTCCGAATGACACACCAGGTGCTACTATGGTGACTACTTTGTCCCAAGAATGACACGCTGCGCTCCAGACAGCGTTGGTTTGTATGTTGTCCTTGACGCCAAGCATATATCCTATGCACAAGTTGAGCAGGTGCATCGATCAATCTTCTTGCTCGCTGTCAATGAGATCGGCTACACTCCGCGCTGAGGGCGTCGTGTCAGACATGATGAACCGATCAATAGCGCGAATGTTAGATGTCGTACTTCGCCTTAAAACCAATTTTAATCACTTTAGCGACAAGCGGAGCATTGTGTCCATTGTTCTTGACAGTAGCTAACATTGCAATGAACCGGAATCTCCGCGACATATCAATAAACGCCACTGACGCACCAACGATCATATCTTTCCACAGCTTGTCCAGATGTTGTGTATGAGGTTGAAGTACTGGAGATAACACGTCTTTTCGAGCTCAGAAGTGAGAAGCTCGCGAGCAATATCGTAAAATAGTTGGCACTGTCCTTGAAGTAAGCGGTCGTGTCTGTCGCGCTCGAGCATGGTAAGCTCTGGGTTACCTGTTGCCGCACGCATCATCTCCTCGAAGGGTCCGGACCTGCACGCCAGAAATGGAATTCATTGACTAGTTAGCCACTTTGAATTAAGCACGTGCAGTGTCTTCGCGCCTTGGAAGTAGTAGTTCCCGCAATAAAAGACTCAGAAGGAGTAGCGTCGACCTCGGCGCCACTGATGAGGTCTGAAGCGGCTTACGCGTCAGCTTCCGCACTCATGACGTTGTCTTTCGCGTTTTAAGCTGCTGTGTGCTCGATCATCGCCAAAGAATGATCCGCACGTTTCGACTTGATATGCTCCTTGGCGTTGATGGTATTCTTTGTGCTGCGCAAGGCTTCCTCCCAGCTAAAAAAACGTGGTGTTATTTCGGGGCTTAATCCTCTCACAGCAGAGCAGACAAATGTTGAGATACACCTGCAGATGGCTTCCACAGATTTCGCATTCTGTAGGATTTATCCAATACATGGATAAGGCCCCAAACAAAATCGATAATACCAACCTTACTTGAGTGCGTCACTGGAAGCGGATCCCCTAAGTCAGAGACGGGGGAGGCCGAGGACGGAGGAAGCACCGTAGGTAGACCATCATCTGGAGGAAGTTTAGTGGGGGCGACCTTGGTCAATCTTTCTTTCACCCCAATCCTCCGAAGCTTGGCAGAGAGCCTCGCCACCGCGCTATCCGATCCCGAGGCGAGTTTTGGAGACGGCACAAAGTCGGTGTCGGAGCCTGCCCAGATGTTCGTCAACGCTGAAAAAGCTGCGGCCGCGGGTCGCGTCAAAGAGCTCCTCACGGCAGGTGTCGAGGACACAGTGCTCAGATAAACATTCTGTACGCACGGTTGGCTGCAGAATGTGCGACTCAGTACAGAAGAGAGTTAAAGTGGATATAAGACTCAAAAAGAGCAAAGAATCTTTCGTTCAGCGACGTGGTGTCTCCTTCAAATGCTCCGATTGCACACATGTGATGAGTGGCCTTTCCGCATAAACTGCAAGGGTCTGTCTTGAGCGCAGGGCCTTCCACACATCCGACAACATCTCAATCCTTCAGCCGTCGTATCCTAGTTACTTATGCGGGCTAGGACCATTGGCGATTGTGATATCCAGTTCTTTCTAGAATGATGATCGACGCAAGACAGCCACAATTTCTATGATTTCTAAATAGCTGCTTTTTCACCGGCTTCCTGGAAAAAAGTATGTCTCAGAGTACTATAATACTGCCTCAGGTGAGTAATACTACTACTATTAGTTATTACCACGTTTTACGGAAGTAATATCCCTACTACTCTAAAATAATAACTATTTGTATTACTCTACATTACTAGTTTGCCAAAACCCCCAGGAGCGCTCTCAAATCATTCTTGGCGCTTGCAACGACTCTGGTATTAATAGAAGATCTCCATGCAGAAGACATTGCGGCCCAATGAACACGGCGACACTGCCCTCGAAGGTGGTGGAACTTTGTTAATGCTGGCAAGCGCTCCAAACCTGTGAAGATCGTCAACTTGTGTGTCCGCGTATTGTGCGAGTAAAGAGGAAGTCAACAGCGTGGGGAAATATAACATTTGTGTTGTGGTTACCGCATCGCCCCGAACGCCCATGTTCGACGTTTACAAGTAAGATTACTAGCAAATCTCACAATTAGTGCTAAAAAGTAAAAATTACGAGCAATTTCCATAAGTCAGTAGCTACTACTGAGATCGGGTGATTTGATTTGGTGCGTGTAAAGTACTGATCAGTAGTTGTCCCAAGCGTTAGGTGTGTTACGCCTGGGTAGTAACATAATAGTAATACACAGTGATGCAAACCAATCGAATCCATGAAGTAGAGCTACATGCTCTTACCAAACAACTTTCTCATTTCCTTTTTATCCACGCCATGGCCCCTGTACTCCGCAACCTCTCGAAGAAGAAATTGGGCCGACCCAAAAAGCGCCTGCCCCGAACCTGTCCATCCTGCATGGTCACCTTCAGCTCTCCGACTAAGCTAAAGAACCATTTAAACCGTCAACGCAGATGCGGTCGTAAGGCCATAGCTCTTCAAAAGGCAAAAAGAAAATAAGCAAACCGGTATTGCAGAAAGTTAAATTCAATTAAAAAAGAATTAGACAAGGTGGGAATGTGGGCTTTTGAGTGCGACGGCTCTAGTGATGACGCTTTGGACGACGAGGCCATGAAAGAGCCCAAGTGGGTTTGTTTTGGAGACAACTTGTCCACTGCCAAGCTCAGTTAGACTGGACGCAGGTAGTAGATCTTCGCTAGAGTGAAATTGAGTGTAGCATGATAGAAGTACTATTACCTATTTGAAGGTGGTAATATTAGAGTATCATTTACTACAAATAATCTTATTAATCATTAATTGTCCGTTTTTGCTTAAACAGCAACGAGTAACCTGTCTTTTGTAGCTTACTTTTTGGCCAAACGGAGCCTATTAAAGACATCATTATTGAAACAATCGACCCGTACTACACTTTTTCGGCTCCATGCGTCTAAAATTACACTAAAATAAAATACTTTCAATTGAAAAATAAAAAAAGTCGTTTCTTAATGTTGCTAGCATGCGCATCATATGTAGAATACTATACTATTTAATTTGAATATTAAATGAAGTACTATTTCATAACTACTGAGATTCGCTGACAATAACACCGATCTCAGTAGTAACTACTGACTTATGGAATTTGCTACCCCAATTGAATGTTCGGCTCGTGAATAGCCTCCATTATTTTTAAAGTGGTCCGCTGATGAGAGCTGTTAATAGCATTCCGGTCGAATTGGTCTAGCTAATCGTATGCAGCTAGTAATAGCACATACTGGTAGAGGGGAGTCGAGCCTTGATCTGAGATCTGTGCTATGATACACTTCAGCCTAAAGTATATAAACGTTGAGCACGTCCCATCGCTAGGCGTTACGCAAGTGGAAAAGCAGAGCAAAGTTCAGTGACCAAGCGTGCTTTCGTCGCCGCACTATCGAGAGGCAATCATTGATTCCTGATCTGTCACGGGCCAAATCTAATCCTGAGCATGTAGTTTTTCTAGAACTTTCAAAATGTATTATGCTGCCTTATCGTGCCAAAACTTTTAGGCTACAGCAGACCTTGTTTATTTATTTGTTAGCCATTGCTTCGTTTGTTTAGCACGACACACACGTCGAAGAAGTGTTGTAGCTTGCACCGCTTCGACTCGAAGCGGTGCAAGCTGAAGTTTTGGTCTGGCTTCCTTCTGAACTTTCCATGGTCTCACGTACAGTAGCGGTCCTGTCCCCATCTTTGTCTCCTCTCCCGATCCTCTACATTTTGCCCGTTCAGCAGACTAACAATCGTCATTTCTAGACTTGCCATCTGCACCCCACTCCGCTATTAGAATGAAGTTCCAGCTGCTCTTCCTCGCCGTCGTGTTGGCTCTCGCCTCGTCCAGCATCGAAGCTCAGACTCTCGGAGACAGCGTCGTCTCTGGCAACGACAACGGCGCCGCTATGGTCACTGACAGCGAGGCAGACAGCACCGCCGGCAGCACGACAGAGTCGACGCCCTCGACGGACACCAACCCGGCCGGCCACACTGGACTGACCACGTCCTCGTCCTCTACCACGACTGAGTCGTCGGGCATCGGCAGTGACGACAGCTACACGACGGTCGATGCCGGCAGCGACGACGGCACCAGTGCCGACGATGACACGAGCCAGAGCGACGCCGAGAGCGCCAGCGCGTCGACCACGGGCAGCAGTGACGCGTCTCGCACCGTTCTCGCGGCTGGTGCCAGTGTGCTCGCTGTCGCCGTCGCGGCTATGCTGTAATCCACCTGCGTGCTATCTATGCTACTCTCGTAGTGTCTAACTTGAGTCCAATGAAGCTACCTGCCTACCTGTGCATCTGAAACCTTTGTGTCTGTGTTGGTATTTCCTGAACAAATACTACGTGATACCGGTATGGTACTGACTACCCACTAAAGTCGAAAGAGCCGCGTCTGCTAGGTGGGAAAAGATCCTCGTCGTTCAGCGTCTCCACGAACTCCTCCGTGTGCACCCGAGGCGTCGACGCGGGCGACGAAGCCATCGAGCTAATGGCAGACGCTGCATCGTCATCGATACCGAGCTGTGATATCGGTTTCCTCTTCTTCTTAGCGTCCAGTTTCCTCTGCGCTTCCTTGTCCACCATCTGAGCGATAACGTCCACCATTTCCGAGTCCAGAGGGGCTGTGGATGCGCGTAACGCAATCTCAATGAGCTTCGCGTGGTTCTTCTCCTCGTACTTGAACTTGCTCTTGAGTTCTTTGCGCTTACGAGTGGGAAAGAGCGTCGCCATCATGGAGAAATTGGGCCCAACTTGGCTCAGACAATAGTAAAACTGCTTGGTCTCCTCCTTGCCCCAGCGTTTTCCCGGGCCATTCGGATGCGACGAGCTGTACCGTGAGCCTGAGTGTCGTGGCGGTAAACCGGTATTTTCACCACCGACGCTGCTATCGCCCAAAGCATCGTCTCCCAGCGTGATTGTGTTCTCTGTGACGACCATTTGACCGTCAATAATTTGCACTTGAGGCGTCACAAGCGAGCCGGCGAACGCCGCAGACTCGGAGGATACCGACAACGAGCGCACACGGTTGAGCGCGTGAGCGTTTAGAAGATCGGAAGAGCCTTCTCCTACCGTTTCGGTGAGTAGCGGCGTGTCTGAAGCAGCCTCTTCACGCTCGTGACGCTTCATGCGTCGACCCTTCGGCACCGTCAGCGCCAACTCGCCCATTGTCATCTGAGACGGCTCCTTTTTCAAAAGTTCCTCCAATTTGCTGCGAGGGATAATACCGCCACCGATACCGGAGACAATCGACGATACCGAAGACGCATTCGAGTTGCTACGCTTCCTACGAGGCGGAGTTTTCTTCTCTCGCACTGTCAGAGTCTGCGAGGTGTCACCTTCTTTCTCTTGTGCTTCCTTGTTGTTGTGGAGTAGAGATTTGGCCCACATCGTCGCTCTCTCGCGTGCTGGGACGTAAACCTAAAAATATACAAATAAGAACATTCTAAAAATCTAAATAAGAACAGACGTACGTTCATCTCGTCTTCTGGCAGTTCCAGATCGTTCGGGTCCACGTCTTCGTCGCGATCGTCGTCTGGCTCGCCTGAGCTGCCACTATCGTCCGTCTCACGGTACGTGGAGCGCTTGCTTTTCCGTCTCAGCGAACGCCGCTGAGGCGTGTTGTTGGATTTGGTCGGTATGGAGGTTGTCTCACCGGTTTTTCGACGCTTTACCGGTACTCGTTTTTTCGTTGCAGCCCTGGGTTTAGTGGTGGTCGCACGTCTTGACTGCTGCGCTTCAAGTTGCACTTCAGGCACGTCCTTGATGCTCTCTGACGGCTTCCCTCCGAGCATTAAGGGGGACGTTGGTCCGTCCTGAGTACGAATCTGCTGCATCATGGAGCGTCGAGGTGATTGGTGGGGCTTAATGTCCAGTTTCCGAAGCATTCTCTGCTTCATCGCGTTCTGCGGACCCACAGCGGGGGAACTACCGGTACTACCGCCACGTGGACGGATACCGGGCGAACTCCCGATACTTCCAGCACGAGGACGCACTACGGGACTCGCTCGGTATACCGGACCGGCCGACGTGATCTTTGCTAGCCTCTCAGGACGTCGCTGCACTGGGAGGACGATAGGAGAGCGTACAGGAGGCACAGGACGTGTCCCTGGACTCTTCAGAGCACTGGGAGCCGTCAGAGAGCCGCCGACTGCGATCCCTCCAGCTCGGCGAGGCTGAGTGGACGAAGGTGTGTCTGCTGAGGTAGTTGTGGGCGCTGTAGGCTTTGTAATTGCAGTGGTTTTAGCTGCAGTCGAAGGTGTAGTTATCGTGACGGGATTGGAGGCGTTGGAGGGCTTCGAGACCGCGGTTTTGGACGCTGGGGCTCCTGTTTTTGCAGCATTGCTGGTGTTTGATGGAGATTTCCTCTCTGTTGTAGCTGGCGGCTTCTCCACGGTCTTCTGGGCCTGGAAAGAGTCGTGTAAAGCACCTGGTAAGTCTTCGGTTTGGCATTTTTCGACTTGTATCAACGTGTTTTCGCCAATATTTCGTACCTCTGCTAGTTTCACTGTGTCTGCACCTTTCTGGGCTTTGTCACTTTCTGCAGGCGACGGACGCTTTGCTCGGGGCGCTGCAATTGCGAAAAAGAAGGTGAAAAAATGATAAAAATTGGGTTTGTCGTCATTTCTGCGCGGATTTTGGACGGAGACGCACCATTCGACGGCTTGGCGCGCGGCGCGATCGATACGCGGGACGGCTTCCGACCCTTGCTCTTCACGAGCAGCGGTACGCGCGAAGCCATGTAGATTATCAACGCTTGACACTTGGAGGCACTGAAGAATGTATGGCTTTTGTCAAATGGGATTTTTGCGGCAGTTGATTGGGGGAAATCCTTTGCTTCTAAAACTATTTTAACGAATCATGTTCATTTTGTTTTGCAGCTCCCCAGGATTGGCGGTTAATCGACGCCCAGTCAAAACTGGTTGAAAGCAGAACACGCGCAGATACTCCAGTGCCCCTGTAGACGACGATGTCAGACCCCGTGGCACGTGCTCGTGAGATTGCGGCGCGTCTGGCGGCGGCAGCGATTCCAGGCGGCGACGCGCTGGGCAAGCGCAAGAGCCGCTGGGAGGTGCGCATTCATTGCGAACTGGGTTTAATTATGCGTTTTTTTCTAACATGGGGTGGACTATTCTATTGTGACGACCAATTTCATTTTGTCAGGGCGATGGTACGTTAGTTTTGATCGTAGAAGCTGCAGTTTCTGTAATCTGAGTGCGTATTTTGTGTCTTTTTGGTGCAGCTGATGGCGGTATGCGACCTGCCCCCGGTATGGGTGAGAAGAAGCGCAAGAAAGTGTACATCCCTGTGGACAAGTACCCGGATATCAACTTCATGGGACTATTAATTGGTCCTCGCGGGTCCAACCAGAAGCGTATGGAGGACGAGTCCGGAGCGCGCATTCTGATTCGCGGAAAAGGTTCGTCCAAGGACCCCACGGGCGATCCGGATGAAAACGAAGAGCTGCACGTTTTAATCACTGCCGATACGGACGAGGCCGTGGCGAAAGCTCAAAGCGCAGTGGAAGAAATCCTCTTCAACCCGCAGCAAGCCATGAAGCTCAAGCAAGAGCAACTGCGCAAGGTGGCCGAGCTCAATGGCACGCTAAACGAGAACTACAGTGAGAGCCATTCGATTGGTCAAAACAACTATGGCCCTGGCAATGACGCGCACTCGTCATCATATGACATGAAGGTGCCACGCGAGCTAGTTGGGTACATAATTGGCCGCGGCGGCGAGACGATTCGCGACCTCCAGATGAAGAGCGGGGCGCACATCCAGATCGTCCGAGAGGAGGAGGGCGCGCCACAGACAGCAGACCGCTTTGTGAACATCGCGGGCAACCAGGACACCCTCGAACTGGCCCAGAAGCTCATCCAGAACCTGATCGATGAGCGGCAGCAGAACCAGGGCGCTGGAGGCTTCCGTGAGCGCGACGATCGCGACCGAATGGCTCGGTACGGCGGGATAAACCCGGATGGATCGGATTCCGTCGAGATCATGGTGCCGAACGAGCGTGTCGGCCTCATTATCGGACGTGGCGGCTGCACAATCAAGGCCATCCAGCAACGCACGGGAACTAGCGTCACCATCCCGCAGACACCAGACCCGAACCATCCCGAGATGCGGCTGATCACTATCCGTGGTACAATGGAAGCCAAGGAAGCCGCCAAGTTCGAGATCCAGAGTATGGTGAGTGACGAGCCAGGCCAACGTCACGGCTACGGGGCGACGTCGGGGCAGACGATCTACATGCAAGTGCCCAATGACCGAGTGGGCGTCATCATCGGCAAGCGAGGCGAGACGATCAAGGGCATCCAAGACCGTCACGCGGTCCGCATCCAGATCCCTCAAGTGGCCGACGAAGGCTCGAATCCTCCGGTACGAACGATCTCGATCCAAGGACCGGCGCCGAATCTGGCTGGAGCCAAAGAAGAGGTCGATATGGTCATCTTACAGGGCGCAGGTTGTCAGGGGGGATACGGCAGTGGGAGTGGTGATCGCTATGGAGGGGGCGATAGTAGCTATGGAGGCTCGAGTAGTTATGGACAGCAGCAGCAGCAGTACGGCGGCAGCTACGGCGCTCAAGGCCAACAGGATCCGTACGCGGCGTACTACCAGCAAGGTCAACAGGGTCAGTACTATCAGCAGGAGGCTGCAGCTACAGCTACAGCCACAACAGCTACTGCTACAACAAGTGCGAGTACCGGAGAGCAAGCAGCAGCTGCCACGACTGCAGACCCGAACGACCCGAACGCGTATTGGAACGGATACTACGAGTACGCAGCGTATTACGGCGTGGACGCAGCCAACGCGGCGTGGGGAGTCACGGGGGCTGCGGCACAGGCCAGTGCGGAGGCCTATCAGCAGTATCAGCAGCAAGCAGGCACAGCTGAGGCCGAGCCGTCTGCGACTGCGACTGCGACTTCTAGCGACGCTCCAGACACGGGAAGCTCACAGGTTTGTTGAGTGCATGTTGTTGTTGTTGCTGTGTGCTTGTGTATGCGCCTGTCGGTCTCGATGCTTGGTACTGTGACTTGAGAGTGGTGGCTTGTATGGCGAGCTCGAGACGAAGAGGTCGTCTGTTGTGAGGAATATGGTGTTGATGTGTCTTGTTGCCTGTGTGGTGTATGGTCTGGTGGGTTTATCCTCTCTCAATAGACGCAAGGACCTCCAGGTACAGCGTAAGGCTCGGAGATCAAGGAGTGGGAGACCAAGGGAGAAGAAGACGTCGTAGTGGGTGAGGCGCGGACAGGTAGGGGAGAGGGAGGAACATACAGCAGGACTGCTCGTTATGAATGCAACGTTTGTTGCTCGATTGGTATTGGGTGGAGAAGTAGAGTGTTATTGGTGTGCTGTACAGGACGAGGAGCGCTTGCTGGCAATGACGTCGAGCCTTGAGAGGAATTGTTTGACTTTGTGAGCCTCGCTAGGAGTTGCCAAGACGATCCGGAGCCAGTGCTGCGCGTTGATTGGGTTATAATCGTCGCCGAACTGCTCCAGGACTCGCGATAACCGGAAGCGGAAGCTCTTGCCGGTTGTATTGACGGAGGCGTGCAGCATATCTCGGTAGTACATGATCATGAGCACTTCTTTGGCCTCGAATGGGTGCTGGAACAGGTAAGTGCAGCGATCCGACGAGAAGGTAACAGGACACGGGAATCGACTCGCGAGTTTCCCGACATTAAGGCTAATAGTGGTAGCTTGGAAAGCTTTATCGCGGGAAAGTGAAGAAGTTTGCGTAGTGCTGCTGGACGCAGTTAGAGTAGGAGCGTTTGGGAGCTTATAAGTGGCAGCGAGTTGAGCTGTGATGGCCTGCGCTCCTTGTGAGATGGTCTGGAGCTGTTCAGAGAGTGATGGTCGTTGGCTGGGTGATGGTCGTCGAGCTCTAAGAGGTGGAGGATCTTGCTTGAGTGTTGATACAGTGAGGCATGTAGTGGCAGTTTGAGGAATTCGAGTCGATACTTGAGTGTCGGTGGCTGCAGCGATGCATGGCGTCTTGGACCCTCGAGTGGATCGATAGAGCACGTACTGAGGGAACGTCTCGCCCTTGAACGGAGACGGCGCAATGGAGGCTAAAGCTGCTTTGGCAGGCATGTGTATGCGTCGAAGTAGAATGCTCAGTCTCGGTGGTTGACGTCCACGTAGGCAGAACGTCCTCGTTTGTTGATGCCTGACGATTCTACAGTAAGAATAGAGGATGCATACTCTTGAGGCTAAGTAAAGAATGATACAGCTTTGTAGTACTACGTTCTTGTATGTATTAATACCTTGTAGAGCATTTTAGTGCTGTATAAATATTGACCTATCGTGCAGCTTGGTTTGCAACGCGGATCTGATAGGCTAATATTCAAATGGAGTAGCTTGATTAGCTATATATGTGCTGAAGCTCACAGGCAGGTCACCGCGTGAGCTTACAAGTCGTATGACATCCATAGCAGTAGCGTCTAGAAGGAAGTCGCTAGCAACGGCAGTAAAGCTGATATCTGCGAATTAGTACCATACGAGTGCCGTAGCGTTGATGCACTCATAGCCGGAGCCCAGTTCATCAACACAATCGGCCTCAATCTGACATTTCCCCTGGAATAGTTTCTCCATGAAACCAATGGCGGATAGTCGGATACCGTTAGCTCTACCCTCACTAACAGTTACAGTTGACGTCGCGCCAACGCGCTTTTCCACCTTGGCAGCCGACTCCGCGCTCGCGAGCTTGTCCGCCTTGATCCAATCTACAGCCTATAAGGGTGACACCCCGTCCAGGTGCAGCTTTCACTGACCGGGAACGAATGCCCCAATTGTTAAACCCCCCATTACAATATGACACTTTACGCAGTATACACTTATGACTTATTGGGCAAAACCCAACGGGACTTGCGGCGGGGAGGGAGGTCACGGAGCTGTGTGCCTCACACAGTAACTTCCAAAGTGAGAGACCGCCTCCGCCAGTATCCCAACGCTCCCACTAGCTCCCGGTACGGTGGAGGTGCCTCACCTTCCACTGGTTCTCGCACTCGGATCGTTTCAGACGGCTCCGGAGTTCGTGCACCGTCACATGTTTCCATGTGAAAGCGTCGAAGTAGTTCACGCACGCACTGTGCTTGAGAGAGCACCACCTGTCGCGTTGCGCGATCTATGATGATCTCAACACCAAGAAGATATCGCACCTCGCCTCAGTTGGAAGGAGCGACACCTCCTGCATGTCAGCTGCAACTTGATCGCATCGTTCAGGAGGGCCAACGAGCAGGAGATCATCCACGTACACAGTGATGAGCATTGTGATAACTCCTCCCACTTGGTGGGCATACAGACCACGATCCTTTTCAATGCGAGTGAAGCCAAGCTCCACCAGCTTCGCATGTTCCAGATGTACGGGGCCTGCTTTAGGTCGTACAGACTCGTCAGGAGATGGCACACTTTTCCAGGGTGATCGCTCTCAAAACCCGGCGGGGGCACCATGTAGATAATCTCCTCCAGTGGACCGTAAAGAAATGCTGTCTTAGCTTCGTATTACATGGCCACCCAGCCACGCTAAAGGCCGTAGTAGATTGTAGCACGAAAGAATTGTCTTGAAGCGAATAACGCGGGCGTACATATCCGTGAAATCGTTATTAAGCACCTGCTTGTATCCATGTATGACCAGTCTGGCTTTGAACATCAGAATCTTTCCTTGCGTATCACGCTTTAAAGCGTACACCAACATGGCAGCACCTTCAACCCTTTTGGTACATGAGGTGACGCAGGGCGCGTCATCGGGCTGCTCTCAAGCTGTCTATCGCTTCTTAGCTTAGGTGCCATGAGGCAACTGACACTATAGTAGCAGTAGAAGTAAGAGCAGGTAGAAGAAGTACGTTTAACACAGTAAGGGCCGGGGCAAAGCTCGACAGGACCGTGGCGTTCTGGTGTGGGGAAGTTGCTTGCTGCAGATAGCAAACGCCGAAGTGAAACACTGCCACACACCCGAGCGCCAGCGTTCCGCAAAGTAGATTAGTTCATAGTATCTTCAAGTAAGTCTATAGTAGACATCAACAAGATGCCGTCCACTGCGGCAACACTTGTGCAGTGGCAGTGTCTCGATGCATACAAACATCAGTATTTGTACTCGGTCCCGCTCTAGTCTTGAAGTCGGAGTGCAGCACAGCCGCATTGTCGTGCGTATGAATGAGAGCAGGATCCGGACTTGAACCGTAGCGTGTATCGTAGGGACTTCAACTCACACTCCCACTTGATCTCGGCGACGTGAGCCATGTCGACGCGATCACACTCGTAGCTACGATCGCGGACAAGTCACCCGTACTAAGCTCGAAAGCAGGATAGGTCAAAGCTCCACGCGTATAGCCAGTCACGCAAGTGTAGCATCATTTCGTATCCTTCTCCTTGGTCATCAAATGGTGCAGCTTGAGCAGAAGCATCTAGTGATGGCAAACAATCGTCATAGCAGACGTAGTTGAGGCACTTGCCTCGCGTGTTGTTGTGGTGCCATCTTCACTGTCCTCATCGTCCTCATCGTCCTTAGCGTCCTTCATCACAATCGGTAAGACCTTCATGACCTTACGAAAGCGCGCACATTTCACAACAGCAAGCGCCTTTGTCATCGTGTCAGCCACCATGTTCTCAGTGCCAACGTGCTGCGTAGTGAGCTTCTCTAGATCCACGCTACGCCGCACCAGGTGGTACTTGTTGTCAATGTGCTTCGACTTCGAGTGCTTGCCTGGCGTGGTGCTCAACGAGATTGCTCCCTCGTTGTCACCCAGCAGCAACGGTGTTGGGTTCTTCCAGGCTTACACATTGCATAGACCAGCTAGCCATAGTAGATCCTTGGTAGCTTCTGACATCGCCACATACTCAGCTTCACACGTGCTTAGTGCGTTGATCTCCTGCTTCCGTGAAGCATAGGAAATCGCATTGCCATCTAGCATGCTAACGTAACCGCTGATACTGCGGCGATCAGCAGGATCGTTTGCGTTGTCGGCATCAGAGTAGCAGCAAATGCGAACACTCGTTTCAAGTTGCACGTCTATCACAAGTCCGTAATCATTCGTAGCCTTGAGGTAGCGTAGTACTCTTTTGGATTGGGTAAAGTGCGAATGATTGTAGTTCGCAAGGAACTTGCCAAGATGTCGTGTCGCGTGTGCAATGTCAGGCCGCGAAGCACTGACTAGGTACTGCAATGCACCTACTAGTTTTCGATAAGGCAGGTATTCCTTGCTCGTAGGCACAGCCATTGTCGAAGGTGTCGCCGACTCAGGTGTCGCACACCCCATTGCAATCCGACATGTGGAAACGTTTGAGGATCTCCAGTACATACTGCCGCTGACTGTAGATAATCTGTCGGCGCGGCCGATCAATGAGAATCTCAACTCCCAGGAGATACTTCACTGCTCCCATCGTAGTCAGCTCAAACGTCTCCTGCAAGGAAGCAGCAACTTCCAGGCATACTTCACGTGGTCCCATCAGCAGTAGATCATCCACGTAAACTGTCAACAAAAGTTTTACTTCACCGTTCTCTTTCAGTGCGTACAGACCATAGTCAGAGTTCATACGTTCGAATCCCATCGTCATCAACTTTGCGTGTAGTGTCTTGTTCCAGATATTCGGTGCCTGCTTCAAACCGTACAAACTCTTGAGGAGCTTGCAGATAAAGCCTGGTCCGTCCACTTGGAAGCCGGGCGGTTGTTCCATAAAGATGAGCTCCTCCAAATCTCCGTAGAGAAACGCAGTCTTCACATCGTATTGTAGAACCTCCCAGCCACGCTGCACTGCATAGTAGATGGCAGTCCGAATGGTTTCGAATCGTATCACTGGTGCATAAGTCTCGCAATAGTCCGCCCCCAGCCGCTGCTTAAAGCCGTGGATGACGAGACGAGCTTTGAATCTCTTGATTCTCCCACGCTCATCTCGTTTGACGGCAAACACCCAGCGACACGTGATAACTTTGACGCCCTTAGCTACCGCTCGTGGTGCCAACTTCCATGTCTTTTGGCTCTTTAGTGATTGCAACTCTGCAAGCATGGCTTCTTTCCATTGCAACCAATGCTGGCTTCGACGCGCCTGCTTGTAGGTGGTCGGGATCTCCATGTCCATGCCAGGGGCCAGCACATGGCTCACCACATAATTTCGTAGTCGTACGCTCTGTTTCTGCGTTCGTCTTGGGCGCTTTAGGCATGGCTCGACCGGTGGCTGTTGAATCTCAAATCCGGTCACCTCTTCCTCAGTTGAAGCAGGTTTTTTTTCGCGCTCTTTGCTTGCGCTTCTTCTTCGCTTTGAGAGTCAAACGACACGTCGCCCTCCCTGCACCACTCGTGGCCTCGACGGTCTTTCATCATCTTCTTTATCCCGGACGCCAAATCCATCGGACAACTCAACCGTGACTGTCCTTATACCACGTTTAGGTGGTGGATCAGGAGGCGAACAATCGGAGAACACTACTTGCACAAAATGCGACGTCTTCGTCCTCCTCTTGTCGGAGCTTAAAGTCGTTCAAAGCTTCAGCACTGCCCTTGTAGAGGGAAGATCAGTCGAAGCACACCGCGCCACGTCCACGCCGTTGCTGTCGGCGTCGGCTTCGACCTCCACCCAAGGTTGGCTTCTTACCCGTAAGGTCACCCAGCTTTTGCCAAATATGGTTCGCATTCCCTTCAAAATACCGTTCGGCCCAGTCCTCAAGAATGGACCAGAATTCGCCTAATAACTCCGTCTCTTGAACGACTCGTTCCGCCTGCCAGCGTAAGCGCTCCCAATCCAGGCTTGGTAGTTTGTCTCTTAAAGGAGGTACCCCAATACTCTGGACTTCGAAGGCCTCCACTACGGGCACACTGTCTTTCTCGGCCGGACACTCTTTCATCTCTTTGAGAATCTGATAAACGGCTTCATGAGCGACGCTTCGGAACATTTCCTTTCTAAAGTTTCTCCGTCCAAAAGGCAAATGACACGGTTGTACTTCGGTAGCTGTCGCCACAATGTCCTCTGTTTCTAGAGGGAGAGCAATATTTTCGCACACTAGACTTTCCACCGTCAGATTCACTCGAGAATCTCTCGCCATAGGGCAGCTTTTCTCTTCAGCAGTCTCAGACACAGCATTATCAGGTGCGCCCACCTTTCCAGAGGTTCTCTGTGGCGCTCTGACGGTAGTCTCCGTGAAACCTTCCAACGATGAACGGAAGTTGCGGGTTAGTTCTTTTAGCTTCAGCCGAACTTTCAAGCGTCTCGTTGAGCCACTTCTGCCCAGTACTCGGGTCTCTTCAAACCTACTCGCGCTGGGCTCACTCACTCACTCTAGCATTTCCTCAGGGATTTCCACGTACTTCGCCATTTCCTCCAAAGATGTATCCTTAGTAGTCTCAGCGTTCACCTTCATCAGACGCTTGAGTTCCACCTCAGCTAAAGGGACTAACCGCTCTTCCAGCTCCTTGTCGTGACCTTTCTTCTCTGCAGCTACTTTACGCCAGCCAGAATCGTTTCTTCTTCACCGGGGCCATCTACTTCCATGGCTTCTAGTTCCAAGTCCGAAAAGAGACGAGAGTACTCAGCCTCCGGAGTTCCGTCGGTCATACTCAAGTCACTGACGATCCGTCCAAGGTCAGGGACGGTCGCCGCTTCTCCCTCGACCACCCCTTCGACTACTTCTTGCACTACCTCCTTGACGACTGTTTCGTCTGGGTCATCCTTCAGCGTCTAAGCAGCGAAGACAGTCTCTCCCACTCCAATTTTCGCGTCTTCCAGTCAACAACCGGAGCCAACGGTTTCCTAAGCGCAGACTTGAGAGGGGGTTCCACACCCAAACGGGGTTTATTACGCAGTCGAGGGAACGAGACTCCTCTGCCTTTGTCCGTCGTTTCAGTCATCACGGCGAACGTAGCCAACAACACTTTAGTAGACCCTTCTTCAGATACGTCCTCCTCCGACTCACTCTCCGACACACTTTCTACAGCGTCCAAACACGCCTCTTCATCGTCGTCCACTGGAGTGTCTCCCTTGGTCACCGCGAGCTCGTACTGTCGTTCTCTACAGTGACATCATCTTCTTTTCTCGTAGTCTCAACCTCCGCGGCTTTCGTTTCCGCGACGAACATCTCAATAGTCCCACAAACCTCCGCAGCTTTTCGTTCTACAACAAACCTCTTAGCGTCCTTAGCCGTCTCGACCGTATCACGGACTGTCAGAGTTCCACGCTCTACCACAGCCTCCACAGCCGTCACACCGTCGTCCCTTCCGTCTCCAGTTTCCTCTTCCTCGCCCACCTCGACGGCAGCAGGCGTTCTCCTTCTTGCTTGCCCCCCCCCCGCCACCGTCTCTTGAGCCATTACCTAGACTAGGGGAAGGAGTGGCTCCTCCTTCTCCCTCCTCTCGCCCCATCATTGACGAGGCGCAGGTTGACTCGGCGTTTGCCCAGAACTGGAATCCTGAGGCACCATCGAGCGCAGAGTTCCGATCAGGGGACATCCGGCTATGTTATGGCGAAAATCGTTGTAGAAGAAACACCCCGGGACGGTCGAGAACCGTACCCTCCACCTTGATTATCACTGTAGTTTCTAGCGGCTTCGCACTCAGCCTGGACATGGCACAGAACACCGTAGTTTCTGCACGTCGGGGTCGCTCATTTGCAAGTGACACGACCATGGCCACGGTAGTTGCAACGGCCACAAACAGGAGCCCCATCCTGGGTTTGACTGTCATCTTTCATTTGAATGCCGCGCGATCGAAGACCTTCAGGCTGGGCTTGTCCGTTCGTGGCAGGAACGGTCGTCGAGACAGCAGATATCACACTACCACGGTCACGAGGGTACCGAGGTGCACTCCATTAATTCTGCGCCAATTGTTGCTGACACTGTTGCTGCTGCTGCATAAAAATCTTCATCCGTTGTGCCAACGCATCCACGGAGGCCAACACAGGCGTGTTCGGCCCTTCTCACGTCCAAGAATTCGTCGTCTTCATCAATAGAACGGTGCATATCCTTGAGCATCAGCTACTCACACGCTTTAGGAATATCGGAGGCAGGGCTTGCGTCCAGCGTTGCTAGCATGCGCTTGTTCCTCAGACCACGGTATAACAACTGGTAACGCATCTGAGGATTTGGGTAGTCCGACGACTCACACAGGTCGGACACGAGGTCGCCCCATTCCTCAACAGACTCACCTTTCTCACGTCTAGTGGCCTCAAGCCGGTCCCACACTTCGTCGGCCGTACGGCGTAGGAACTGGTTATGGAACCGATCCTTCCGCATGGAGAGCGTCCGAATGCTCGAGTTGCCCCACCATCGCTCAGCTTCTTGACCCTTCAGCCTCTGCCGAAGCACCAACAACTTGGATCGGTCGGGAAGGCCCTCCGTATGAACCTCGAAGAGCTCCCAGAACCCACGTGCTTTCTCTACCGTTGCCGTGTCCGAGTAGGACACCGGTAGCACCTGCATGGCGTTCGAAACCAACTGCGACAGCTGAAACGGATCGGCCGTCCTCAGGGTTTAATACGGAGATAATCAACCTCAGTCGAGTCACAGAGTGAGCAGGAACCGTTCGTCTGGGCGCAGGCCCACCATCTCTCGTCATAGTAGTAGCCCCGCTTCCATGAATCGTGCCCACTCTCTAAACCGGACGCCTAGCGGTACTCGGCATCAAACTCAACGAAAAAGTCGCAAAACTTACACCACTCGGGCGGGGGCGACTCACAGACCCCTTAGGCACCGGGATCTTAGCAGCCATTCCAGGACCGTAGCCACCTCGGAGACCTCTGACGCCATTATCTTCCCGCTGAGCACTCCAACTTCACCCGAACGCGGGACGGTCGGACCGTCGAACTTCCGGTCCAGTGTACCGGGAAATGAACCCACTTGGTTTTTTGCGCACTCTTCATTATTTCGTCCTGCTTATACTCAGCGTCGTACTCCGAATCGTACGCCTCTTGAGCGTCGTAGTACTCGCTGTCGTATCCATCCGTCGTGTAGGCCCTCGCTGCGCGCAGAGACACCAGCCACGACCTCTCTCTTCATCTCAGGCTCTTCCTTGACCTCCGTCTTGATATCGACGTCGGCCTCAGTCCGGCCTCTCGCTCCTTCCTCAGTTTCCTTGAGCTCGTCGGCATACAGCCCGCGCAGCACGTCCGTCACAGAGCTCATTCTTATAGTCGCCACTCCTCGCAGCTCCGCAGCTCCGTCACCTCTATTAGTGGACTCCTCCACACCTTACGCGGATCCTCTGAGACTCTCACTCTCGCACCCCGCTCCAACCGCTCCACAGCAACCGGAACCGGCACAAGCTGCTCGTCCGCACCGCCTTCAGGACTGCGGTCGAAGACTCTCTCTTCTTCTTCATCACTAAAACACTTTCTCTCTCGACCATCGTCGATACTCTCAATAACCAATACTTGTTCACTCCAAAATTCTCTTCTTCTCCCTGCTTCTCTTCCTCGCGTCAATTCTCTGCGCGGCATCAACGCCTAATTTCTCCACACTTTCAGCTGAAACAGGAGAATTTCTTTCTCCGTCACCG